AATCATAGGACGCGTCATAGAATTTGTCGCTTTGAAAGATATATTCGGCGCGCAATGAGTTGGTCTCACAGAGAATAGTCGGGTGTTTGGTCAGAATGACAGTGCATTGTTGCGGAGCGCATGTCATTTTATGGAGATCCCATGTGACCGAATCGGCCCGATTCACACCCGACAATAGGTGCAGATGTTGTCTAGACATAAGCCAAGCGCCGCCCAGAGCGCCGTCCACGTGCAGCCATAGGCCAAACTCTTGGCAAATGTCTGCGATCTCTGGCAACGGATCAAATGCGCCCAAAACTGTTGTGCCGGATGTGGCCGACACCATATACGGCACTTTACCCCCGCTCTTGGCAAACAATATGTTGTTTCTGAGTTCACTGACGCACATCCGTCCCCTTTCATCGGCCTTCACTTTGATTACAGATTCCGTTCCCATTCCTAACCAAATGGCAGACTTCACAAACGAGTAGTGAGACTAAAATCATCGAACAATTTACGAATTAATGTATTTATCAAATGAATTGTTTGTTAACTCACGTCTTCGGAGGCAAACATCACTAGTTCTCCCAATTCTCGGATACCTTTCTGTTTGGATTGAGGGAAAGCTTTTTGTCGCGATAACACCATAGCGTATGTATTAGCGCTGGAACCTCCCGGTGCGAACATGCCGTCAATCTGCGAGCATTCATAGCCAACCAATTCTCCCAAATATTTAATTAAATACTTTTCAATTACAGAAAATACTGGCGATATCTCGAACGTAGCCCTGAATTGGAGTCATCATAAAATACTGTTTAATATTATTATCAAATATTTACTACAATTTTGTTTTTGCAAAATTCTAAAATATATGACACAACTATTTATCTACAGTATACCAATTGTTATACTATTTAAATACATTATAAAACCATGTACCAATTAAAAACAATTTATGATATATTTAGGAAATTTAATTTCCAAATAAATAATATATTTTGTAATTTATTGAAAAAACATTATACGATACTAACGCAGAAGTGTTGAGCGCATCGGTTAAGAAAGCGCCAGAAAGTGAGTATTGTTCGGCTCCGCCATAGAGTTGATTGTAAAAGTTTGGATGCGCTAAATGTTTGCAATTTATTCATTCAATTATTATTTTAATATTAGACATAATTGAATGCATTGTTTTACATGTTTTAACGCTATGTCTGATCACTTGTCGACAAATATCTAAAAGTTTTGAATCCGATTCTCTCTCTTCACCGATATTTAAGTCTAAAACATTCTGTTATAAAATTAGTTTTAATTTACATAAAATATACATTTTATTTATATTATAAATGAATTAAACAAAAAGAGTTCAAATTTATACCTCTAACTCATTTGGATATTTAAAGTCCAGTAGTTTTTGGTGATTATCTCTAAAGAATTGAGAGTTTCCAACAATTTTTTCTTCATTAAGGCTTATGTCCAACAATTGTTTAATAAACTCATTGCCATTATTTGAAGTCATCGTTAGATTTGAAATTTTGTCACAACTTTATTGTCAAAACTTTTAAATTCGGTATTCTTTAACTCGAGTATTTAATATATAATCCCAGTATATTAATGGCAAAACTTTATAATTATTTAATTACAGTATTGATAATTGAATTAAATGTATGATTAATTTTAAATATAAAAATTAATGTTTACACAAATCATAAAACTTTTATGAAACACTTCACACAAAAGTACAGTTCAGTTAAACTCATAAAATGATGGAAACTTTTGACAAAATTCTTAAACCAAACGTTTTCAATGCTATACGAAGTGCGAGAACTTTGTTCGCCTTATATCTGATTCAAAATAGTTGTGTCATATATTTCAAATCTAACGATGACTTCAAATAATGGCAATGAGTTTATTAAACAATTGTTGGACATAAGCCTTAATGAAGAAAAAATTGTTGGAAACTCTCAATTCTTTAGAGATAATCACCAAAAACTACTGGACTTTAAATATCCAAATGAGTTAGAGGTATAAATTTGAACTCTTTTTGTTTAATTCATTTATAATATAAATAAAATGTATATTTTATGTAAATTAAAACTAATTTTATAACAGAATGTTTTAGACTTAAATATCGGTGAAGAGAGAGAATCGGATTCAAAACTTTTAGATATTTGTCGACAAGTGATCAGACATAGCGTTAAAACATGTAAAACAATGCATTCAATTATGTCTAATATTAAAATAATAATTGAATGAATAAATTGCAAACATTTAGCGCATCCAAACTTTTACAATCAACTCTATGGCGGAGCCGAACAATACTCACTTTCTGGCGCTTTCTTAACCGATGCGCTCAACACTTCTGCGTTAGTATCGTATAATGTTTTTTCAATAAATTACAAAATATATTATTTATTTGGAAATTAAATTTCCTAAATATATCATAAATTGTTTTTAATTGGTACATGGTTTTATAATGTATTTAAATAGTATAACAATTGGTATACTGTAGATAAATAGTTGTGTCATATATTTTAGAATTTTGCAAAAACAAAATTGTAGTAAATATTTGATAATAATATTAAACAGTATTTTATGATGACTCCAATTCAGGGCTACGTTCGAGATATCGCCAGTATTTTCTGTAATTGAAAAGTATTTAATTAAATATTTGGGAGAATTGGTTGGCTATGAATGCTCGCAGATTGACGGCATGTTCGCACCGGGAGGTTCCAGCGCTAATACATACGCTATGGTGTTATCGCGACAAAAAGCTTTCCCTCAATCCAAACAGAAAGGTATCCGAGAATTGGGAGAACTAGTGATGTTTGCCTCCGAAGACGTGAGTTAACAAACAATTCATTTGATAAATACATTAATTCGTAAATTGTTCGATGATTTTAGTCTCACTACTCGTTTGTGAAGTCTGCCATTTGGTTAGGAATGGGAACGGAATCTGTAATCAAAGTGAAGGCCGATGAAAGGGGACGGATGTGCGTCAGTGAACTCAGAAACAACATATTGTTTGCCAAGAGCGGGGGTAAAGTGCCGTATATGGTGTCGGCCACATCCGGCACAACAGTTTTGGGCGCATTTGATCCGTTGCCAGAGATCGCAGACATTTGCCAAGAGTTTGGCCTATGGCTGCACGTGGACGGCGCTCTGGGCGGCGCTTGGCTTATGTCTAGACAACATCTGCACCTATTGTCGGGTGTGAATCGGGCCGATTCGGTCACATGGGATCTCCATAAAATGACATGCGCTCCGCAACAATGCACTGTCATTCTGACCAAACACCCGACTATTCTCTGTGAGACCAACTCATTGCGCGCCGAATATATCTTTCAAAGCGACAAATTCTATGACGCGTCCTATGATTCCGGCGATAAGTCCATACAATGCGGCCGAAAGTCCGATACACTTAAGCTATGGCTTCAACTTAAGGCTTACGGNCTGGGCGGCGCTTGGCTTATGTCTAGACAACATCGGCACCTATTGTCGGGCGTGAATCGGGCCGATTCGGTCACATGGGATCTCCATAAGATGACATGCGCTCCGCAACAATGCACTGTCATTCTGACCAAACACCCGACTATTCTCTGTGAGACCAACTCATTGCGCGCCGAATATATCTTTCAAAGCGACAAATTCTATGACGCGTCCTATGATTCCGGCGATAAGTCCATACAATGCGGCCGAAAGTCCGATACACTTAAGCTATGGCTTCAACTTAAGGCTTACGG